GCCACTCGGCCGGCCCACTAACTTGAATTTTTAAATACAGAAACATATTTATTGTTAACAAACAATGCAAGTGTACAGAATAAAATTAAAGTACCTTATCCTGCATTCTCTACCTCTGTTTCCATCTACTTCTCGCTCCACAAAGATTTTCTGTATATCTTTTCAGAGTTTTTCCTGTACATTTATATTCATAAATGATCAAAACAAAACACCTCTGTACATTGGTATTTATCATTTAACCAGATATGAAGAACAATTTCATGTCAGTACATGTCTGTCACTTATCTAACTTTATCTTTCACTACATAACATTTAAAATATTTATTTGGTTAAATTTATCCAATTTTTCTTTTATGGTCTTTGGGTTGTAACATTTTTAGATTTTTAAATTCCCTAAGATTTTATATGCTATCACAAAGTAGGACAAATATAGATCTATGAGTTACAGGAAGCATATTCTACTGAGTTTGCAAATGCTTTATGGGTGAGAAAATATTGGAGGAGCCAGAGGATGTTCTAGGCTAAATGTGAAAATACAGAAAGGAGGAACAGAAAATAAAGTTGGAGAAGATATACGTGCTTTAACAGTTTAACATCTGCTGATACACAACAATGCTTTAGGTACTAAGAGGGAAAAAGGAAATGTTCTTTTTTCTGGAGGACAGTCTCTGTCCCCCAGAAGTTTACAATTCAGATGTAAGCAAAAATATTTTAAGCAACAGTTAAGCAGCAATGATTGGGGAAAAAAAAATTAGCAATGGGCTTAAAACCAATGAAGTCCATGGAGAGGACAGTACTATTTGAAAGAGAATTCTAATGGGTCTCAAAAGAGATTGTGAGTTTCAACCCTAATTTAAATTTTTTTAATATTTTCACCAAAGTATAATAAACATAAGAAAAGCACACCTATCATAATCCAATAGCTCAATAAACTTCTGCAAAGTAAACTCACCTGTAAAATCAGTACTCAGATCAACAAGTGCGTGGAAGCACCCCAGGAGCCCCCTCCTACTTCCTTCTGGCTACTCCCCAAAAGCTCAGATTGGTTTTGCTAATTTTGGACTTTATGTAAATGGAGTAATATGCTATGTACTTCTTTCTCTCAAAACACGTTTGTGACATTCATCCAAACTTTTGCATGTAGTTGTAAATTTTGCTTTCCTGTTACTGTATAGTAATTGCAGTATATGAATATTCTAATACATCACTATCCATTATACCAATGATGAGTAGTTTGTGTAGTTCCTACTTCTGGGCTCTTGTGAAAAATACTGCTATGAACATTCTAATACCTCCTAGTATCTTTCAGTGAACACGTTTAATTTCTGTTGGGTTTGTATATGCTAGGGAGAATTGCTGGGTCATAGAACATGTTCAGCTTTAGTAAATACTGCCAAAAGTAGTTATAAATAGCAGCTGTAAAACTCCTTCAGCATTGTATGCGAGTTCCAGTTGTGCTACATTCTCATCAACACTTGTTCTTTTCCACCTTTTTCATTTTAGTCATTCTAGTGAGTATGTAGCAAACACAATTATTATGGATAATATGAAAGCTTAGGTAATAATCAGCAAATCTCTCACAACAAAAGATCAAATAATGAGAAAAGCAAGCAGCCTTTAAAAAGAATATGGGCATTAAAGTGTTGTAAAAAACTAATAAATGGTAGGGGAAAGTAAACACATTATTAAAGAGCAGACAAAAACGCAGCTCAATCATACAGCCAGCAGACAGTTCTTAAAAGTGGGGAAAAATATACAACAAAACGTGGAAGCATGGTGAATAAGTGATTAATGTTCTGATAACTGTAACCTATAGTATGAATTCTCTCACTAATATATTATAGTCCATACTTTTCTATAGAGACAATGGCTATTTTATTTCAGGAGAATAAAAATCAATAAAATTTTTCTAAAAATAATATAAAATATATTTTAGCAAAACTTACAGAACAGAATAGCTTTTGTATGTACCACAGTGTATAATTTCCAATCTGTACTGTGTGAGATATATTTAAGAAACTACAGTGTATAATTTGATCAGGACATGAATTTTTAGTAAACAAATGAAAGTCAGAAACTGTAATACTACTCTATTTGTGTCTAATATCCAACTTTTTAAAATATTCCAGACTTTCACTTAGACTAGTAAAAAAAAAAAATCCTGGTACAAAGGGAAAATACAAATTACTTTCATCTTGTAGGTGACTAGAATCATGACGTCACTTAGCCATAAGCTCCTAGAGGATGAGGACCACACCTTATAATTAATTTATCAAAGCCCTTCTCCATAAGTTTAGCAGAGTGCTCTTAGCAGAACATTTAATAAATCCTACTCACCAACATGTTAGAATCTATAACTAGTGACCAACATATCATATATGCTGTTTCATGTAGGTGGTGATAAGTGAATATTTATGTACTAATGTATTAAGTTCCGACAGGCCTAGTTCAAGATGCTTAATCATTTTTAACAAGAATTCATTTACAAACACAGATTTTTAAAATTATACAAAAACAAACACTAGAAACTTAAAGAACAATAAGCAGAAAGCCACAAACTATGTCCAACAGCTAATAGATCAAACCTCTTTCTCTTTTTCTAAATAAAGCTTGAGCTTATTTTTTCCACAAAGTTCATCTGGGGTAGATTTATATTGATACATGATTACCCCAACCAATCAACAACACTGTTAATTTATTAATACTGACTCTCAAAAGATAGGTAAGTGGTGATCACTGATAAAAACTGATTTTTCTGGGAGCTTATTTGCTTGATCTTTTCTAGGTTAGAATTTCTAACATTTAAAGTGATATCAATGTTAGGTATTTTACACTTAACAGAGTGAACGATAGTTTATAAAACGTGTGTGTATTTAGTTGATCAGGTAATTTCTGAATTTTGAGGATTTATTTAATTGACCAAAATTTATAACGTTTTAAGAAGTATAAAAATGGCTGAAGTATAAAAGCTCTAAGTAACCGTTAATGAAATGCTAATGAAACATTAGAGGGAAAGTGACCAGGAGATGAAATAAAACCTTTTGATGGCAAAGTTTTTCACTGAAAAGACAAAAGAGAATGGCTAGGAATGAAAAATAGAGTGAATGCTACAAAATTGATCAAACATAAATATCAAATACAAATAATCAACAAGCAGTCAGTCACCAGTGTGGAAGTTCGCAACACAAGATGGTGCTACAACTATGAATCTCTGTTTAACCCCAGGCAACTCTAAATCGTTCTCGCAAGAGATTAAAGATTAGACTTGTTAAGTGTTATAGCTGAACAGAATGGGAGTGTTGCAGTATAAGAAAAACCTAGTTGAATACAATATGTTAATAGTTTATGAATAAATACTAAGTGCTAGTCCAGCATGTTATACTAGGTACAACTAGTCACACTAAAAATAAAATGTTAAAAACTCACTCACTGTCTTCTGTGGGAAGGACCTGCAGGGAGTAAATCCACTCTATTATATCGTCTTTGTTCACCACATCTAAGGAATCCAACATATCCAGCCCGGAGAGCGCAAAAAATGCGATTGTCAACCTAAAAAACAAACAAACAAACAAAAAAACCACATAAAATTCTATCTTTACTATCAAACCACTCAAGTGTTTCTGGTTCAAAAAAATAATCTCATTCTAATTTTATAATATTGGGTTGTCGGGAAAGTCATGACATATTTTTCTGTTTTTCAATGCAAAAATACGTCATGACTTTCCCAATAATTTAAATTGACATGATGACCCAATAATTTAAACAATACTCCCATCTTGTAAAAGCAAAAAAACCCCTCAATTTATTCTTATAATTTAATATCAGTCAAACCTTTGTTTCAATTTTTTAAAAAGGGCTATTAGGGGTTAAGAAACCAAGCCTAGTCATCTGAATTTACCGAAGCCAGTATATTAGCAACCTGAAAGCTAAAAGTAGGTTTACAAAGAGAAGTTTCTGCACCTGTTCAGTACAAATAAGGTCAAAAGCCCAGAAAAAATATATAAAAATCTCAATTTTCACCAATTTGCCAAGAGCAATTGTGCTTATGGCTGGTATTTAATTTTTAAGGAATGTCAGAAAAAAATCTATCTTTATTGAAATTTGTTTACAAATAATATGATCCCTTGGAAAAAAACCTTAAACAATTAATTCTGGGAAATAAGGAACACTTTTTAAAATACAAATGCACTTCAACTCCATTCTCCCAGACAGGATCATTCTTTGAAAGAATGAAAAACTGGATGGCAACACCCACCCTTCCAAGATTGTGCACTGAATCAGAAATCTAAGTCTTTGTGCTTTAATACAAAAACTAATACCTTAGTGACTGTTTTTCACATAGTTTGTTATATATAATTCCTTTCATGCTGAGATGCGTTCTACCATGTTGTTTGATTGAGCATGGTTATCTCATTTCCATATTCTAGTAATTCCAATGTCTAATATGGATAAATCAACACTTTAAATTATCTGATCTAAAATCTTATAGCAGAGCCATTTGACACATTCTGTAACCTTTTTAACAGAGTCCAAAAGAGAATTAAGCCTTAATACCTAAGGCATCCATTACATATATTATTTCCTACACATCTAGAATGGTATTACTTAGAATGGTATTAGCAACTTAAGGAGAAATGAGAAAATAGTCACTCTTTTTTTTTTTAGGATATTATTAAAATTAGGATGTAATTCTCTCTCTGACCCCGGGTTGAAAAAGGCTGGCATCCATTAGATAACAGGAGGAGAAACCAAAGAGTAATTTAATCCCATACAAAGTTTAAGGGCAAAAACGAAAACTAAGGAGATATTGGTACACGTAAGAAAAATTAATTTTGGGAAACTTACATTATTGAGAAACTATTACTACATACTAGACACTAAGCTAGAAATGTCTCATATGTTAATCTTGATTAAATTCTAACAACCCAGTGATCCACGTGAATAAGGGAGGTGATTTATCTGGATAAGATCAAGATTAAACTAAGGGCAGTGGAACCCCTTTATGTGGGATCTGTAGTTCAGGCTCAGACTCTGCAGTCATATGAGTTAGGTTCAAATCCTAGGTTGGCCAATTTATAGCCATATAAGCTGGGCAGGTTATCTCACCTTTTCTAAATCTTTTCTAAGTCCTTATCTGTAAATCACTGTTACATCTCACATAGTTATTGTGTTTACCTGCCCATAAGCAAGCACTCAAGAAATGAAGATATTATTATTGATATTTTCTCTGATTTGAATGGACAGGAGTAACAATGACTTTAGGATCGAATCACAGTCTCCCACTACAGAACCTTTCTCCAGGTTCTGGGTTGGTTGGCAACCTTTTTTCCCCTAGGGAACTGCTCTTCTCCAAAACAAAATATTTTAAACTCAAAAAACTTCTACCTAATAGCAGCCAAGCCTAAAAACCACTGCTCTTGGTAATGAGTATGTCTCATGAGATAAAGTCTACATTGTTCACGGTACGCACTCAAATATTTATTGAATTAACCAACAAATAAAAGACTTGCAATACTACGTCTAACCCTCCTGGAGAGCTCTCACAGGCTTTTCAGAATTGCTATAATCCAGAAGGTGAATGATTATAGTCAGATAAAATTAAGCATCTAATAATTCAGCTTATTAAAGCCTTATTATAGAAAAAAGCGAAAGGAAGGCAGAGATAAAAATGCAGTTCTTTCTGTTAGTAAAAAATATATACTAAGAAAACATCTAAAGGATTATAAAAACATGTTGGTCTTCTTTACTAAGTCAAGAACTTGAGAAATTATCTAGTTCATCTTTTTAATTTTCTAGATCAAGATAATGAGGTTCAAAGAATTCAAGTACTTTTCTTGAGTTTTCACTGCTATATTTCACCACTATATAACCAATTAAGAATACCCAGAAATTCTGAGTGGCAGTGTGGCATTCTCCACAAGGGTGTTTCTCAAACCCAGCTGTACATTAGAATCAGTTTAAAAACAAACAACTAAAACATCACCAACAAAACCTAGAGAGGCCTAGGCCCTACTCGACGACAATGCAATCAGAAATTCTGGGCAGAGGGTGAAGAACTGGGTATTTCAGGAAGAAAAAAAAGCTTCTTAGGTGAGTCGCATGTACAGTCAGGCTTTAGAAACAGTGCTCTAGAGCTGTGGTTCTTCACTGGGGGTGATATTACCCCCAGAAGGCAGTCTGAAGACATTTTTTGTTGTCACAAGGGGAGGATGCTACTGGATTCTAGTCAGTAAAGGGTAGGGATGCACAGGTTAGTCCCATTAAACAAAAAAGTATTGTTTTGGTCCAAAATGTCAATAGTTCTAGGGGTCAGCCAAGTGGCTCAGTTGGTTAAGAGCTCACTCAAGAGTGCCAGCTCTGAGCAACAGCAGTTTGATTCCTGCTGTTGAGCTGCCAACAAGTGGCAGGATGGCTCAGTTAAAAAAAAAAAAAAATCAAAAATAAACCCCAAAATGTCAATAGCTCTGAGGTTGAGAAACTCTGCTCTAAAGTCATGTTGTCTGTTTATTAGTGTTATCTGAATGATGTTTTTGATTAGTGTTACCTGAATGATCCTAAATATGCAGGCAAATACCAGAAATTAGTCATCTGGTGGTACACTATTTTAAAATCTTGCATACCTAATTATTAAAGGCTTCTAAAAGTCCAGCATTTTCAACTCATAGCAGTTGAGACTAAGGTTTATAGGATTAACACAGCTATAGTAAAAAACTTATTTTTATAAAGTGACGTGCACAGCAGTGCCTAGCAGACAGAACCAAGAAGTCATTTGGGGCAAACGACTGGCTTCCCTTTAAGATAGGTTAGGAAAGTATTCCTTTTTTGACCACATCAGAGTTCTTGAGTAGTCCTAAAACTGTGAGAGGAAGAAAATTTAACAAGCCATAGGAAATACAAAGGAATTTTAGCCTGTGGGCCTGAGAGAAATAACGTAGGGTTTTATGGTACCCAGTTGACAGCTACTTGGGGTATAAACTTCTAGGCAACATGCTTTGATGCAGAGATATAGAGGGGTAATCTTGTCATGTGTATACCTAAAATCAGGCCAGCGAGGTTATTACTTTATTACTTCTTTGGAAAACATGTCTCTTCTCTTCCTTTCTACTTTTCCCTAGTATTGAACTCTGAGTCTGCAGTCAGAAAAACCAAAGTAAGCAAGGGATGTTTTCCTGCCTCTTCTCCTACTCTGAACAATACATATAAAAAGTTTATCTTTACATGGATGAAAAAGTAACATTTTCCTCCCTACATCAAATTGCTTCACCAGTGGATCAATTCACAGATGGGAGGGGTACACTACATGATGTCTCCAAAAGATCTCAAAATTTTCAGGCCTAAGAAAAATTGTTCAGCGTTTAAAAACAGCACAAAAGAAACAAGGATTAAATAGAACTCTCCCCTCTCCCCAAAAAGGAAAAACAGTCTGGACAGTGGAAAAAAGAATTTAGCCATACCAATGTGATTTTCCTGTGCCTCTAAATGAGTAGTATACTGTCAGGCAAGAGCAGGTGAGTGACTGCGAGTATATGATTTATGGAAACACTGATTTATGGGAGTCAACTAGATTTCCAAACCTTGGATCACTTGCTCTGCCCCTTTCTAGTAGAATCTCTTTAGTGGCATCTCCAAGTATCTTTAACATTGAACTGCATTCCTGCCTAGATGTCAGGTATGGCTGACATCTTACAGAGAGTTCTAAAATTAAAAACAAACAGCTATATTAGGAAATGGAAACATAAGATACTTGATAAAATTGATAACAGTGGAAATGAAGAGAGAGCCTTAGAAGACACATTAGAATTAATGTTAGTTGTTCAATCAGACAATTTTTGCTGTTTTACTTATGTTGTGAACAGGACTACACAGTTTACTACTAACATGCATTAGTCTATATAGTTTTGTCCATCCTGAAATTGTAAACAGACCAAACAAACCACCAGCATTTTGAAAATGCAACCACAGGCCTATAACAATAGCTACAAGCAAAGTTTAACTGCTTAACAATCACAATAGGGTGGAAAATTTTTTTATTGAAATGCTTTGAATTCACATAAAATTAATCCTTATAAAATATAAATGTGATTTATAAACATATTTCTTAACAGCCCATGTCATTACAATCAATGGACTAAGTTTTGGAAATCTTTAAATTTATTGATGTAACATTGGTTAATGATTTATATATTGTAAATAAAAATCTTAATTTAGGTCTAGGCATGCACTCTGCTAATCAATCAATACCTATGGATGGAGAAAGGCATATAATTAATGCTTCACTCTTTCTTTAAAAAGAATCTATTCATTCTTCAGGGCTCAGCTCACATTATTCAACAAATATTTACTTAACGCTTCTCATAGGCCACATACTATTCAAGTTCCCAGTGCAATGCTGTCCAGTAAGACTTCCTGAGATAATGTAAATGCTGAAATAGAAACAAAAGCCACTCGTCAATATGGTGACTGAACACTTGAAATGCGGTACCTACTAATGCAAACATAAGAGCTAAAATTTTAATTTAATTTTCTTTAATTTTTTAATTTCTCAATTAGTTGACATTCAATATTATATTAGTTTTAGGTGTAATTTGATTTAACTAGCCAAATGTGGCTAATGGCTACCATATCGGACAAGGCAATGTTAGTGCAACAGAGGTAAACAAAATAAAAAGCCTGCCTTCATGAAGTTTACAATCCAGTGTGAAATAAAGATATTAAATACACCAATAAATATATAGGTGGTGATTGGAAGTGGTCTCTTTTGGAAAGGGTGATTGGGGAAGGTGTCTATAAAGAAATCTGGACTGGTACCTGCCCTTCGTATATGCTTCCATGAATCCTACCCTAATATAGCATAGAACTCTATTGAAATTGCTTGTCTTGTTCAGCTGTACTCCAGCACCTATCATATTTCTTGAACAAATATGCAGAAGTAATCTATAAAACTTCCAAAACTGATCCAGTCATGTAGTGCTCAAAGTACACCAGAGACTCAAGAGTTCAGAAAATGTGGAGAGACATTAGAGCAAAACCAATGTGCTCTCTTCCCGTCCAGTCCCGTGCAGCTTTGGAGCCTCACTTGAAAACACAGCAATGCAGAGCAAAGATGGGCTCCTCCTTTCGTTCTGCTCATCCCCATCCTTTTACTCTTAATAACTAATTCATAGTTTCTTAGTTTCTGCCAGATCACACATGTAAGCCAACTCCAACTTACAGGGTTACACTGCAAATACACCAACAGGCTGCTTCACACAACACTGCACTTTTTGCGGATCTTCTATCAGATTTGCAGTTCCTGGAAAGTTAATTTCTACTCAAACGTTAAAGGATCTCTGACGCTCCTGCCTATCAAACAGCATACACACATTCAATTAAGAGTTAATGACTCGACATCTGAAACTAATATTGTATATCAACTGTGTAACTGAAAAATTAAAAAATATTTTGAAAACGTTAGTCAAACATAGCAACGTTAAACTTTTGATGGTGAGCACGCAATAGCGTATACAGAGATTGAATACTCATGTTGTACACCTGAAATTTGTGTTATTAGCCAATGTTACCTCAATTTTTAAAAAGTTAATGAATTAGGGAAGGGAAGCACAGAAGAGGCTATTTATCTAATACGATGACAAACGCCTTGTCTTTTTCCTTTTATACTCGAAAAGTAATGAGGCCAAGTGACTCACAGATTTTGGAAGAGGGAGTAAAAAGGGAGCTCCGAGTTGACAGGAAAAATGGTTGAGACATGAAAAAGGCGGTAACTGGCCATTCCAAAAGCTCTAGACTTACAGTTCCCTCAAGCCCTCTCGCCGTAGCTCGGGGGAATGAAGGTGACCACTGGCCGGCTGGAGAGGGAAGGTACCCGGCAGAGAGCGCCGAGTGGGTGGCGGCGCAGCCCCTTGTGGGCGCCCAGTTAGCTGACAGGCTCCGCGGCGCCTTTCCGCTGGGGCCCGGACTCCAGGCCGGCCCTGTTGACTGCGGCCACAAGTTACCTGCTGGTCTCGAGCGAAGAATAGCGCTCGGGCAAGACCTGGAGGCAGCGCTGGAAGAACCGCACGTGCCGATCCCGCAGGAAATCCAGCCGCTCTCCCTCACCGCTCCCTGCCTGCCGCTCGTCCTCCATGGCCGCCATGCTGCTACGGAAGCGACGTCCGGAGTGACCCGGAAGCAATTGGCGAGCAGCGCGAAAGAACCTTAAGGGGTGATACTGAATGACGAGTGCGGACGGCGTGTGCGCCCATCACAGATCTGATCTGTGATTGAAATTACTGCAGACACTCAACTGAAAATCTTAACGCAGCACTTTATCTCTGGTAGCGCCCAACCCAACCTTTATTATTCTAAGCACCAAAGATTTGGAAACACCTCGCATGCCTTGTAAAATCCATCCTACAAATCCACAAATCTCTCCAGAACTTTTATCCTTGCCCCGTATTTGGAAGGAAGCGCTAGGTCAACTGCTTCAAGTTCACTTTGATAAAATTAAGGCCCTAAACAACGTGAGGATGGTATATATGAAAACAAGTATTTACAAAAAACTCATTTTTGTAAGACCACAATTTAAAGCTGAATGGATAAGGAAACTAAACGTACAAATCAAGCTATGTAGGTAAACAAATGTTTATTAAATAATTATTGACACTAAAAGTTCAGAGATTTTCCTAGTCCTCTCTAGATTATCAGAAATCACTTGAAAAATATATATCAATGCAATATACACACATAACGTATTCATACGTATGTGACTGACTCCTTGCATCATTCTTTTACAAATCTTAAAAGATTTTCCTCTTTGCTTGAGTGTGTCATCTAACATCACTGTTGCATCAATTTGCAACAGCAAATAAGCTCAACATGTTTTCCAACTGCCCATATACTAAAAAATAACATGCTTCCAGCTATTTTTTCAAAGACGGATTTCAGTTGCTTCAGCCATATATTTACTGTTCCTTTTAAAACTTCATGAGGAAGCCTTGGTGGTAGAACAATCCACCTAGGGAGCAGGCCTGAACTTGGTTCTTTATAATCAGTTAAGCTAATAGAAGTTTGGGTGTCATTTTAATTAACAGCTTACTTATAAAATGCATTTCTTAAAAAATGTACCATGTGGGCTGGAGTTGTACTTAATTCAACAATCCAAAATGCCTTGCATAATTTTAGATACTAATATTTACTTATTCACAGGTGTTCCTGCATATCTTTAACAAATACCACATTAACAAATGGCTGGTGCTTCCCTACAAATATGGAGGCTACAATCCTTGCCCCTCAGGTATGTCCAGTGTAGAGGACTTTGCACTACATTATTACAATTAAGACAACCCCCACCCCATATCTCTCTCTCTCTCTCTCTCTCTCTCTCTCTCACACACACACACACACAGACACACAGACACACAGACACACACACACACACACACACACACGGTGAAATGTCTGAAGATGTTCAAAGTTGAGTCATATCACATATATTTAACTTACTAGAATCAATTATGTGCATTCTATATATGCTCAAAAAGACAGTCCTAATTAACCTGGCCCTTAAAGGGAATCCAAATATTTCATTGGATTTTCGGCTCAGGAACCACAAGCCATCTGATCCAAATCTGGAGGAAATAACTTCTATGGTGGGCTCATTAAGATAATATACTTCTAGGTAAGTAAAAGGCTTCTTCATGAATGATTTTGACCATACAAGGTTTCTGACATATGAATGACAGAAATCAACCCCACAAAAAATGCCACTCTACATTATTCACTAAAAAGTGTAAACAGATCAAGTCTTCAAAGAATGGACATGAAAGAGCACCCATATCACTGAATATTATTTAGCTATTAAATGATGTTTGAATTATACAGAAAAATAGGAAAATATGTGTAAGGCAATGTTAAGTGATTATAGTATAGTAACTAAAAAGTACTCTGTGAGTGTAGCTATTTTAAAATATTTAGGTATATTTTCAAAAAAGTTATACTGGGGTGGTGGAATTATGAGTGCCTTATAACAGTTTTTAGTGTTTTTTTCTTAAATTTCTTATTAATATATTTTTAAATCAGTATAAGAAATGTTTGACATCTCTTCTATGAGCTTATAACTGAAGACATTTATATTGTTTATCTACATGCTTTTTATAAAGGATCTATATAATAAATTTCTCACTTATTTTAGATTTAGTTAGAAGGCCTAGTTTCTTCCAAGAAACTTCCATTCTTTCTTTCATTAAAAAACAAAACAAAAAATAAACAAAAAAAGCCATAAGAATCACATTGCCCAGTATGCTTACCTTAGATGCAGGAAATTGAAAGCTGCATTTGTGTGCAAAAAAAAGAGCAACATGTTAGTAAGCAATACATAAGAAACCTTTACTTTTCTGTATCATGTAGCTGTTCAGTTCTGTTTTTTAAATTCCCTTGTCCTGTTCTATATTTTATTTCTAAATTACCTCAAATCATTTAAAAAAATTATGGAGAATGAGTACTACAAATAAAATGGGCATTTTTTTTGTAATATATAGATGATGTATTACAGAATTGTACTCCTGAAACCTATGTAACTTTACTAACAATTGTCACCCCAATACACTTTAATTATAAAAACACACACACACACACACACACAAAAGCAACAAAAAATTGACCCATGGGAAACTTTGATGATGTATATTCCTTTCTAATACCTAGTTAATTATTTCAAACTGTATATTTGCCTTCAAAATGGGCATTCTTGATTAAGGATGTTTTATGTTAATTCTCCTATTTTGCACCAATAACTGTATAATTAGAATTCAGTTTCCTTTAGAAGTTATTTACTTGGAATATTAAGTGCGAAATAAGAGGTTTTGACTACTCATAGTAAATTTTAACAGAGTCATTTGACCTAAATGTATCAAGTTATAATTAAATATACTCTATAAGACAAAAATCATAACATATAGTTTCCTATATAAAATATGTATACGGTAACTTTCCTACAAGATGGGAACTTATTAAAGTAAGGAACTAAGATTTTATAATATGAAAAATTGAGTCAAATTAAGTTACATTGTGCTTTCATGTACAAAAGTTTGCAAAATTTAAAATTAACTCTTTTGACCAAATATTTTGAGGTAAACAGAAGCAGAAAAGAAAACTGCACCAGCCAGGAAAATGTGAAAGACACAAAGATTTTATAAATATGTAAAGTCCAGAAAGCCTGAAGGGAAATTTGGAAAATCTGAAGGAAACCAAAAAGATTATATCAGTAATACAAACAACAGGGAATGTATAAGGTATAAGGCATATTTTTAAATATAAAACAAAGCATGCTTCAAAGAAATAGAAAATATTTATTACACAAAAATGTAGTAACCGACAAACTACCAATTTGTTAAACTTAGAAAAAGTACTTATTTCATAACAAAAAAAAAACTTTACACTTTTGTTAATCAAGCTAATTTACCTCCAAGATATAAATGTTACAAAATTTTGGTTTGAAAAATGTCATTCTGTGATTGTTTCAATTTATTTGCAATGCCATGACAAAAACAAAATATCTTTGAAATGTTCTGAGTATTTAAATGAAATACTGTTTGTAACATAAACTTATTCAGCAATAAACTTTTACATACGCCAGCATACATATTAAATACCTTCTTAGTATAAACAGGAAATACTAATGACAATACCGAATGGAACTTAATATCTGTTAATTCACATAACAACACAATAATCAATCTTACTAAACTAGTGATATTTAAAGAACATTGTTAGTCACTCTATTATAACTGAATATGCTAACATTCTCATCACTGAATACCAATTTCATTATCTCATGTTCTTTTCTAAACTCCTTGTCTCCAGGTTGGAATAGCCCTAAGAAGAAGAAGAGAAGAGCAATTATAAATACGTGGGAAATTTTTTAAAAATCCTAACTGATTAAATGTTAACTTTAAAAAATGTATGTAGATTTGCTTTATCAACTTTTTACTGTAAAATATAATACACATACAGAAATTGATAAAATATAAACATGCAGTTATTAAATTATTATAAAGTGAACACCCATTCTACCTCCTCTTTACCTGTGTGGGATATGTAGAAGTGGCCCAGAGCCTGTTGGTCCTATCTTTTTGGTCCGTTCTTCCCAACCTTTGGTAGGTTTGTAAAGTCTAGAGGGATCTCTGCTAACACTGTTTTCAACCTGTAATCAGAAGTAAAATGAGTGGTAGTTAATTAATATGGCCTATTAAGTTTGTACTTATAAGATCCTTAGTAACAAAGTGCAGTTTTAAGAAAAATACTTAATATGTTAACTAAAAAATAAAACTGTTAATAACCTCTTTAGTAAATTCTAATTGTTCTCCTATAGCTAAAATAAATTTGGACTACATCAATCTATTAATAAACTGTTCATTTAGATTATCTTTTCTAGTTCACTTATTCTATTTCTGTTGTCCTATTTTTTTCTTACTCTATTATGAGGGAAATGTGAGGCAGCAAAGTACAATAACAGTGGCATAGCCAGACAATAAATTTAGGATAAATAGCCACCAGTAAGTTCTTTGTTTTATCAATTAGAGTCACCAACATCTTTAGCTATGAGTATCACCTCTGAGATTAAGCAATGCTCACAGCTGTCATCGGTCTAAAATAGAAGCTCATATAGAAAGAATGAAGAAAAGAACAGAGTAGAAAGAGAGAATTAATTTAGGGAAAAAAAATGAGGTGCTTATAATGTGAAATGGTAGAATTCAAACAATAGTTGCTTAAATTATACTAAGCTATGCTATGTAATATGTAAATATGAAATTTAAAGGAAATGATACAGAAATAAAATTGGGTATAAAGAAAATGTATTTTATGTTTGTATCCTTAGAAGTTAAGGAATTAGGATAATAATAAAAATAAATTAAACCCTGTACAGAGTACCTTTTCTTTTAATTTTGCCAGTCTTCTTTGTTTTTCTGCCTTTTCATCCTCTTTTGACTGTCTATCAAGAATTTTCAATTCAAGTTTATATAAATCCTAAAAACATATACCAACAAAAAAGGGTAACATTAAGAAAGTAAAATTAACTAGAATTTGTTTCAAAGTTTAATTGCTTGGAAGTAAAATTAAATTACTTTAAATATCAATACTCCTTCAATATTCACCTTTTCCAACAAATAAGAGCCAGAATTTTCTCTGAATATAAATGTAATACATGCACATCCTTTTTGAATCACCTTCTTTTAGGTATCTCTTATAGTTCAGTCTAAAACTCCTTTTAATAGAAGAGTTAAGCCCATTTTCACTTATCCATACAGATATGTCCAGTTTTAGATTTGCCATATTATATTTTTGTTTTATAGGTTTTCTTTTTCTACATTTTTTAAGATGTGGCCTGCTGGCCTTTTGGAGGGGCAGGGAGGCATTTTGTATTTAAGGAGTTTTTTTTTTTTAGAGAGACTAAAAGAAATTCCACTATTAATGTGTTTTTGTCTATTTTTTTGTACTTCCCTTGTTTTTTGCTTTATAAATGTTATTCTATGTATTTTGATGCATATAACATTCCATAATGGTTATATTCATAACAGTTATATCTCATTTGTACCCTTTTTCATTTTAAAGTACACTTCCTTGTCTTTTTTAATAAACTCCTTGGATTCCACTTTGTTGATAATAAGATTGCAATCTCTTTCTTTGATTAGCGTTTTTCTTGTACATATTTGTTTAAAATCAATTATAATTCCACCTCTCAGCAATAACCTGGATTCCTTTAAGTATACATTGAGTATCTACAATGTACAGGGTACAGGGATAAACAAAAGAACAAAACCTCTGCCCTCACTGAGCTTGTGGTGAGATGGACAGTGAACAAGTAAGCAAATCACCTGTGGGGAAAAGTGAGTTTGGCAGAGACAAGACATTTATGGCCTGGCCTGTGGCTACCTTTCCTGCCTTGTCTCCTGCTGGTTCCCATCCTCCCCTTCATACTCTTAAGAAATACTGAAGTGTTTATAGCTTCCCCCACAAGCCACACTGTTACACTCTTCCAAGCTGCCATTCATGCTATTCTCTCTGCTAGGAAGGATCTCCCCTTTCCTTCCCCTTTCTTCTTCAAGACAACTCAGGTATCACCTTCTCTCTGATATTCATAACTATGGTAAGCTTCGCTTACTGCATATCCACCTCCTACAGTTCTCTGTCCACACCTCAATCACCACACTACTCACCACATTATACTGAAATTTCCTAGCTGCACATCTATCTTTGGCTTACTCATTTTGGTAGGTACAAGCCCAACACAGAAGCAGCACTCAGTTTTTGCGGGACTGAATCTGAAGTAATACCTCTGTGCAGTACTGACAAATTACTTAGGGAACATATTTACTCACTCTTTCTTGAAATCTGGAAATTTCATCAGTAGAAATTTTCCTTTTTTCTGCCTTTTCTGCCTTTTCCTTTATCTCCTTTTCGAGTCTTAAAAATTCTTCCTGTTCTTTCTTCTGCTGGGTATAGTTTTCTAGTAGTAATTTTAGTTTACACTGACGTTGGTGCTCTTTCTGCTGCTTTTTCTCTTTCTCTTCTTCTTCTTTTAACTGGGAAGCATATTTCATTGACATTTCTATACTTTTCTGTTTTTTCCAAGCTTCAACTGCCAATTTCTGCTTCTTTCTTTGCTCCTCTTTTTGCTTTTGATTATCTTCTTGTTTATTATGAAAAAACATAGGTATGTTTTCTGCCTTCTCCTTTAACTTGAAAATTTCCTCTTTTTTTTGCTGCTTTTTAGTTTTCCAATTCTGAATAGACTAAGTGATTTAAAAAGACAGGAAAAGAAACATATCTTTAATAACCAAAAGCACAATAAATACAACCTCAAATCCATCTTTCTAAAAAGAAGACTGATTGCAGGATGCTGGTTGCTTAGGTTTTCAAGTGTTTTTTGTTGTGTTTTTTTAAACCAGTGCAACGTTTACTTCCATTTAAAAAAATTAATATATCTTTTAAAACACTGAATAATGGTTTATTTTTTTAGCCTTCCTCTTCCTCTCTTAATCTCCAGGTTCACAAGGACTGCACCTCATTCGTTTGTGTTCATGGGAAACATCCTTTTCCTCTGATATTGTACTTCTGTTATTGTACTTTCCAAATAATCTTTCTAAGTTCAGAATCCTTTCTGATTGACCTTTGTCTGGTCAAATATCAGAAGAGAAAGAAAAGTGAGGTGGTTGAGAGCATGGGCTCTGAAACCAGGCTACTTAGGACCAAATCATGGCTTTGCCATTTACTAGGTGTGACCTTGGTTGAGTCACTCAAGTTCTCTGTCTTCATTATGCTCATCTGTAAAAGTGGTAGGTAGTATCTCTCCACTGGGGTTGCTGTGAAGATTAAATGAGTCAGTGCCTGGCACATAATGCTTTTTAACTATAAAAAAAAAGCAAAACAACTTCATAGCTTTACATAGGGTATGTATGTAAAGATTATTTAAAATTCTAGCAGCCTTCTCTATGTTCTGAAGGATACATTTACTGAATTACTTTCCCCTCAAATCAGGAAACTGTTTCTTCACTTTTCCTAATGGTGTATCATTCATTCATTCCATAAATCCTTATGATATGTGTACTATATGCAAGACAATGTGATAGGAACCACAGATGATTAAAACAGTACCAAATGCCATCTAGTACAGTGCTATTCAGTGTGCCAGTCCACAACAATATCAGAGATTCATGCCAGAACATAAATCAATGCATTGCTTCTTACTGAGTAGTTGATTGTGGTGTAATCACTTTATCTCACTTAAGATCAGTAACAGTTTGCAAACTATCATCCAGTCCATGGACCAAGCTTGAGTAGCACTGTTTTAGATGAGATAAGACATATGCATAAATACTAGAATATATTCTAGTCTGTACCTAGAATATATTTTAGAATATAAACAAAGTGCTAGTGAAATTCTGAGGGATTACGTATGTTTGAGTGGGCAAGAAGGAAGCAGCGTTTGATTTGGGCAGATTTTGATAGGCTGGTAGTTGAGGGGGAAAGGAGGAATAGAGGTTCCTTCCAGAAAGTGAGAGTAAGATAAGCAAGGGTACCCAGGCCACAAATTTCAGCACATGTATGAAAATAAGTACTTTCACTTAGGCAAACACGGAACATATTCAAGGAAGTAAGAAATAAAAATGATTAAGTCTCCTACTCAGCGTCTTAAACTCAGTAGACATAAAACTACATTCCTGATGTTTCCCCCCAAACTTCCTTCTTTTCCTCCAACATTTCCTACTTCAATAAGTGGCATGCTCACTTTCACACCCTCGCCTACCACACCCCTACATTCAATCAATTATCAAGTATCAGGAAACAGTGGTTGGGAAAAAGAGTAAGCTAGAATCAAGGTGTTTTACCTTTTTTACAAGAGGCACTGTGTGTTCCTTTTTCCTAGAAAGGTGGTTCTGAAACGTTAGCTTGTAACAGAATAACCTAGAGGACTTGGTAAAACACAGATTCCTGAGTCCCATCACCAGAGTTCAGATTAGGTCTGGGGTTGGGGGCTGGAAAGTTCTAACAAGTTCCCAGGCAATGCTAATTTTGCTGGTCCATGGACCACTTTGATGGTCCAGGGACCCCATGTTTTCAGTATACTGGGAAACAGCCTAAATAATTCCTAATAGCTTGTTTTTTAAAATTTTTTAAAATGACTTAATGTTTCAAAAAATTTTGTTAAAGTCCCAAATTTCAATCTTCCTACATTTAAATTACTTTGGAGGGATAAAACAATAAACTCCAGCTATTTCCTCTAAAAAGTTAGGCTAAACATGGAATCGGTATTTCTTTCATGCTCCTTAGGTAAGTCACCTGTTGAACAGTCATACTTTTGTTGTTAAATCAAGCAAGTTGAAGTTTATTATAGCTGAAGTCTACAGAAAAAGTGACTCAGACTTAGACTATATAAACCCCTAGTTCTCAACTAGGAGTGATTTTTGCCCTCCAGGGGACATTTGGCAATTTCTGGAGATATTTGTGATAATCACGACTAACAGGGTATTACTAGTATATAGTGTGTGGAGGCCAGGGATGCTGCTAACCATCCTAGAATGCACATGACACCCCTTATAGCAAAGAATTATCCAGCCCAAATAGTCAACTATGCCAAGGTTGAAAAGTCCTAATCTAAACCAAAGCCAGAATACTTTTGTGAAAATGGAACTTTATAGATATTTGTTTCACTTAAGTTACTCTTTTCTCTGGGGTAGCCTAAATTATGAATCTTTCAAAATAAGAAATGAAGCTAAAGTTCCAAATCTCAATGAAACTTTTTTTAAAGAGTCAAAGAACTTTTTCTACTGCCTCTTATTTCCTACTGAAAACAACGTGGCCTTTGCTGGTTAAGATGCCTTTTATAAAAAACCTGTTAGTTCTGGATATCCCACATTTCTGGTGGACACAGAGCGTTTTGCCCAGAATCAGAAATTTTCTGGCCCACTGTATTATTTCTTGGGCCAGAAATGTTTGGCCTTGAGATAGTCCAACTGTAGTTCCATTCATTAAGTAAAGTTATTCAACTTCTCAATGCCTGTTTTACCTTCTGTAAGATGGGGGCAAAAAATTATACTATACCTCAAGGAGTTGTTGTAGTTAGTAATACATGTTAAAGAATTTATCACAGTGCCTAGAACATAGAAATATATATGTAACAAATAATAGCTATTATAATTATTATTACCTCTTTTTTTCTTTCTTCTAGGGCCAGAAATTTTTGATACCATTTCTCATGCTGTTGAACTTCATCCTGTGTTCTTCCAGGAAGGTGTTCTAGAACCTCCCCCATAAATGCTGACTTCCCCTTATGTTTGTTTCTCACCTTTACAAAGTTCTGGTGATCATAATCATCCCAGCCCCCTTGTCGCCCTCCTGTTTGCTGAAGAAATTTTTCAAAATTTACCACTTCTTCTGGGAGAGTACTTGCAGTTACTTTGTCTATAGGAACTTTGCTTGACATTGCTCTGAAAGCTCTCTCTGTTTCTGAATTACCCAAAGCCCATGTGTCAATTTTTCTTGATATGGCACTCAACTCAATATTAGTTGTTTTCTCTTCTTTTATAAACTCTTCATATCTAAAATTTCAAAAATAAAGTTTGAAAAAGATACAAACCAATCTATATTAATCCTTTATTTTTTCCTCAAATTTAAATATAGTTCTTTCTATGTCATCTTTTCCACTTAACATTATTAACATTTATAAATCTACAAGGTGTGATCAAATGATACAGTGAATGTTTAAATTAAAAAATATTTATTACAGTAAAAGACACATTGCCATTAATTCCCCTCAAAATACTCTCCCTCACTTCAAACACACATATCCCATTGTTCTTGCCACTTTCTGAAGCAGTTTTGGAAGTCCTCTTTGTGAGTGTTTTAGTTGCGCTGTCATGGCTGCCTCGATGTCCTGAATCAATTCAAAACGTTTACCTTTCATGGTCATTTTGACTTTGGGGAAGAGCCAGAAGTCACACGTGCCAGATTTGGTGAATAAGGTGAATGATACACTGTAATGGTTTTATTTGACAGAAACTGCTACACCAAAAGCAATGTGTGGCATGGAGCCTTACCATTGTGATCAAGAAATATGGTGAATGCTGCTGCCAAGTGCCATCCAACGGAAAGGCAGGGGGATCTTCAATATGGGAGGAAGCGGCATGACAAACCTTACCAACAGTGTGTGACAAGTTTCTACTTGTTCAGTGCAGTCAGTCAAGTGTGAGCTATGTTGAGAGAAGGTGTATTTTAAAGTGTGCCGTAAATCATCCTCCATTATGACAACAGTCTGTGTCACACATCACTTCGGTATATGGCAATTTCTGCCAAATAAAAACATTACAGTGTGTCCTCATCCACCTTATTCACTGGATCTGGCACTGTGCAACTTCTGGCTCTTCCCCAAAATCAAAATGATTCAGGACATCGAGGCAGCCACAAAAGCACAACTAAAGACACTCACAAAAGAGGACTTCCAGAACTGCTTCAGAAAGTGGCAAAAATAATGAAATAAGTGTGTTCAAAGCAAGGGGGAGTATCTTGAGGGAAGTTAATGGCAATGTGTCTTTTACTGTAATAAATTTTTTCATTTAAACATTCACTGTATTATTTTATCACACTTTGTATGTCTTAAAAGTTTCCTCAGAGAATAAAACAATCTTTCAAATTCTTGAGATTTTATAGTCCAAATATAAATGAAAATTCATTTTAAACATGAAAAGCAATCTAAAACTTAAGAGAGGTATTTTTTGCTTTTATGCAATATTAATTTTAATATATATAACAATAAAATGGTTTGTATGAAATAACCTAGTGGAGTTATTGATAAATAAAGTGCTCAGGCTTATTGATAAATGTCAATAATTTATATTAAAGTACATTTAAAACATACATCAACCTCTGCTCTTCCTTAAAAGTGTTAATTGCATTTTCAATTTCTTCCATCATTTCTCTGAGCTTTTCAACAACTGTAAAAAAACAGGTAAAAATTATGTCATATTTCAGTATGACTAAGAATTAAATATTAGGGGAAAAAAATGGGATGTTCCCTTAATTTAAAAACATTTCTTTGCCTAAACGATAAGAAAAACGTGCTTTTAAAAGCAATTTTTATTACTACCATTTTTTTTTCTGACTAGGGATTTTTTCTTATGCACACATATCATTAAATATTGTTTACAAAAGAGTTTCCATACTACACATACTGTTTTGTGACTTGCAATTCTTATTTAACAAAATGTTGTGGTTAACTTTCCTTACCGTATGTGTATGTATACTCACACGTAGTACAGTCCTCCAATGTATTCTTATCAATTCCTAACCAATAAAGTAGGGCTTAGCTCCATTAATACCAAATAGAAACATTCCAATTTATACTAGAAAAGTATAAATTTTTCTAATGAACAATTGAAAATACTAATACATACGAAAGAATATAAAAGTGAAATTTACTTACAATCAGGTGTAGGCTTCACATTTTTTAACTGGTGCTGAAGTTTCTTTACATTGTTATGTATTTTGGCCAATTGTTGCTGGATTTTTGCTCCTATAAGACAGAAATATGTACTTTAAAATAATTCTATGACAAATGCATTTATCATTCAGGATTCTACACATAAGACTGATCATCATCACTTAGTAAATGATAGCCAAGATAATTCTATAACAAATGTGTTTATAATTCAGGATTCTACACATAATACTGATCACCATCACTTAGTAAACGATAGCCAAGAGCAATTCAATAATGAACAAAAGATGATTATTTATAAGTGTCAAACAGCCTAAACATTTTAATTTTAAGTACCCTTGCTCTAAATAAAGCATCTCTCCATTTCCTCCAGTATTTAATAACACAATGGGTTAAATCTTTTTTTTTTCTTTTCCAAAGATTTTATTGGGGAATCAGGGGAAGGGGAACAGACAAGTTGCTGTTATTTTGTTCGTCAGTCTAATTGTGGAGAATGTCGCTTCACTGGTCCAAGCTGGCACCATCATTGTGTTCTTCCCGGGTGAGGCAGATCAGTTGCCGGCTTCTGGACGGCTGCTCACGGCGGCTGCTGGCCACTCACGCTGGCTGCTGGCTACACACGGTAGCCCATGGCAGCCCACTGCCACAGGGGCTGCAGCCCACGCTGTCGCCGGCAACCCACGGCAGCCCAGCTCCAGGTCGAGCTGTTGTTCAGCATCTTAGTTGTGGAGGGCAGTGTCACTGGCCCTCATGTGTGGGATCCGAACCGGTGTCCTCTGACATCCCAAGCCAGTTCTTAACCAACTCGCCACTCGTGCAGCCCACAATGGGTTAAATCTTAATATAACCTCTGCTAATGAAATTCTCTCTCTCTGTCTCTCTCTCTCTCTCTCTCTTTTTACTCTGTGGAGATTGAGTTTTTGGACACTATTTTAAATACGTGGATCAGCAGCTTAGGCTTAGTCATGTTTTGTTCTCCAACAGTTTTTTCTTTTCAATTTGTTATAATTTATGGAAACAGAATTTGAAATAGATCTCAGCTCTATTGTTGGAATATTAAAACTGTCTAGCCAGTGTTAATTCTGTGAATACTGATACACTTCCTAATGAGAATTAATTTCATCTGACCACCTCCTCTAAGATGGGAGTCAGTAATACCCACTGGTGTCAGTGTCATGACCTTGACAAGGTGCCTTAGCTGCCATTTAGTCATATGTATGCTATAGGTAGGTTGCTGAGCTCTTCCAAAAGACCAGCCTGAAAACATTAGGCCAACAATAAAAGCCTGAAAAAACAGAAGAGGGTCTCAAAGACATTTTCAGCTGTTCTGTATCAGCAGGAGAAAGACTGGATTCTTCTTTCATATTTTCTTTCTAAAGAAATAATCTTTTAATGTTTATTTAAATTATTAGGCTAACATCATATATGCATATTTACATTCATACATATGTATATATTTATATAATATATATATATATATATATAAAATAGTAATATTATTTTATCATCTTTGGTTACTTTATTTATGCCCCATTTTTTTTTTTTGCAACTTTTTTACAAATGAGCACAAAGACCAAACAACTGTGTCCAAAAGTCCTTAAAAGCAATTTTTTTTTTTAACTTTACTTATAGGCCTGGAGCCAGTGCTGATATCCAAAACAAACTTCAAAAATGTGTATGTGGCTTTGGCTTGTTCTTTTTATAATTAAAATTCAAGAGTTCCATAAAAGCAGAAACTTTATCTGATGTATTTTATAGGGTCTTAAACACTGTTGGAACTTCAGGTCAAGAAACTTCTCTAGTAAAGTAATTAGAAAATTGTTTTTTGTTGTTTTGTTTCTTCCATAATTTGATCAGCTACAAGTGATACCATTACAGGGCAAGTGATCTTTTATTTATTCATTTGGATCCACTCTGTACAGGCAAACCATTCAAGTACATTATTACACAAATGCAGGCTAAAATTGGGTCATGATACTTGGAGTAAGGAAAAGGTATTTACTACTTCTAGCTGTAATATGGGAAGGGGAAACTTCTATATCCTTATACTAAGATAATGCATTCCTTCATCTCCTAGATAAGATAAATACAAAGGTGAACAAAAACAGGCAAAAGTACAGAACAAAAAGAAAAATATAAAAATAAAATTGCCTTAAAATAGAGAAAATCAGGGGCAGGCCGAGTGGCTCCGTTGGTAAGAGTACGAGCTCTAAGCAACAGGGTCGCCGGTTTGATTCCCACATGGACCAGTGAGCTGTACCTGAGCTGAGCTGCCGCTGAGCTGCCAACAGGTGGCAGGATGGCTCAGCTGGTGAGAGTGCATGCTCCTAACAACAAGGTTTCAACTCCCATGTGGGATGGTGGACTACGCCCACCTGCAACTAAGATTGAACACGGCACCTTCAGCTGAGTGGCCATGAGCTGCCAATGAGCAACCAGACGGCGACTGGACTTGGAGCTGAGCTAGCTGCGCCCTCCACAACTAAGACTGAAGGACACCAACTTGTCTGTTCCCCTTCCCCAATTCCCCAATAAAATCTTTAAAAAAAAAAAAGACAGAAAATCAAGTGACTTAAAATGTGGAGAACGGAGACACTATACTTACTGGCATGATGGAAAGATAACAAGACCAGCCTCCCAGTTGTCTACGAAAGAACTGAGGGAAACTAAGAAGCATTCAACTAGAGATGTTTAGATTTCTCTAGGAATCAAAGAAGAGAAAACTGAAAATTTGGTCATTGTATTAGGTCCTATTGTCATTCAAACTGAAGAGGGAGAATGATTTTTGCCACTACCTGACAAAAGATGACTTTTTTAAAACAGTGTAATCTTATATTCTGAAAGAAAAAAAATTTATCAAGAATTTCTTGTAATTGGCTATACAGGATTACCATAAGCAGTATAATCTCTATATGAGTCAATACTTTATAAAGCTTAGTTAGTTGATAGCTATTACTTTTCCTTTAAGTAATGCTAGTTTTTGTTGTTGGTTTTTTTTTTTGTTTTTTCCCAGAGAGGAGCCTTATGTTTTTATTAATTAACTGCCTGACATACCTCAGTAATACATTTTTACCCCTATGTTTTAGGCTGCAAACTTTTTAATTTTTTTTTGAACCCTTTCACTTTACCAACCCCAACTCACAAGAGCTTCCTTTTGTTTTTTTGTTCTTGTTTTTTGGTTAAGGTATAAGATGCACACAATAAAATGTAAAAAGTACATTAATCTTAAGTGTACAGTTCAATGATTTTGTTACACCTCACGTACTCATATAATCACCACTGAGATCAAGATACACATATTTTCAATCCACAGTTGGGAATCTGTGTATGCAGACAGCTGACCTAAGTTATATGTAGATTAGTCAGCGCCCCGTAACCCCCAAGGGTCGACTGAGAACATTTCTCACAGGTATTTACTCTTATTACAGTTTTATCACTAATAATACCATTATTAACATTACCTGAGGTCCTGGTCTTAGGTTAACTGCTTTAAAGTTTTATTATTATAACATAACATTTTTTCAACATATAAAATCTACTCTACAATGAAACAAGGTATTCTTTTAGAATTCTTTTTTAAGTCCAACATTTAGTACACTATTAACAATGATTGACAGTCATAGCAAACAAAACATTTTTTGTACAATCTATAAGGCAGTTTCTCATATAGTATCTCATGGGATACACAGGACAGCTCCCATGAAGTAGAAATGGTAGGTTTTATATCACAGACAAGTAAATTCAGGTTTAAGCAATTATGTGATCTGATCACTTCATACTACTATCAAGTACAGGTTCTGAATCTGTTAATATTTACTTAGTCCAGGTCTCAGTCAATAATACAGGGTGATGAGCTAAGATCAGACAGCCCAGGAATCAATTTCTCTTTCAGAAAGTTTAATAATATTAACTGGTTTGTCAACCCAAAACCAAAATCCTCTTTTTCCTATTAAATTGGAAGAAATACAGATAGAAAACAATCCAGTTCGAATCACTAAACAGTGACCTGAAAAAAAAAATACATCTCTCTAAATGATACTCATTACTTTATTAGAAAGTACCTTGATAGAAAATATAACACAGTCAATGCACAAATACAAAGTGCAGAGCAAAACTACAACTTTATATCATTCAATAGATTTTGTTCATCATGAATGCAACTTACTTTCTGTTTTCCTGCTGTTAATCAATTTATTTTCCAATTCTTCCAGCATACTATACTCAATTCTGAAGTCACTTTTTTGGTTGTAGAAGTGATTGTGTTTATCTTTTTCTATGTTAATAACTCTTTAGGAAAAGAAACAAATGGTAGAAATATGACTTAAACATATTTTTAATTGTTTAAAATATGAAGATACTCATAATAATCAGTACTTTATGTTTGGATTAATTCATCTAAGGAGTCAAAATATAATTACTTGAATAATAAGGTTAAGAAGTCAAAATACTAGTTAGACAAGAGTTAAGTTCAACTAAAATCATAAGTAATTTGAATTGCTATTTAAATTACAAAATGTTAATTTAAGAACTCCAGTCATAAACTTGTTTTGAAAATACATAAACCTTTGGCCATTGTTTGCAACTCAATCTCACTGTGGCCTGAAAATGGCCACCACCGCTGCGCTGCTGATAGCTGCTTTCAACAAGAGATACTAAATTTGTAACCTGAACCAGGACATTTAACCTTTCCTGGTATAAGCCTCCTTATCACTCACATGTGAATAACAGCTCTCCACTACCCAACCCAACAGGGTTGTGATTAACATTATATGAGATAATAGACATGAGGGATCTCTATACAGTAAAAATGTACTATGGAAATGCAAGTTATTAATATTATTAATAAAACAAAATCTTCAAGAGGCAAAAAAATCTATGAAGACAGAAAGTTTGGTATATTTATGGGATATTGTGTATATTTACTTCAAAGCTTCTTGGATTTAGTCCATCTACCAGTAAAAAGATCTAACATTAGTTTGAATCTCCAGTAAAACAAAACAAATACTGTACTATCAAGTGACTTTTCTGGTTGGACAAAGAAATTTATTTTCTCAACACCTGTTTTCTTTCTCCCAGAATGGAAATTAATATGAATGTTTCTCCACTGATCCGGTATTAAAGGAGTGGTGCAGTGTCTCTGGCCATTGGCTTAATTTCATACAACCTGAGAGGTAACTAAGGTAGGGTTCCTAATCCTTTTCACTTTGGTACACAATGAGAAATATTTGATATTTATAAAGCACACCAGGGAAAACAGATGAGACTGCTCCAGGCCCTACCTGGCTGCCCCAAAGGTTGAGGGGATCATAACTTAACACTTGTGTTTGAGAGATGAAGCAATGGGTAGAACAGAGATGTCCAATAGATTTCAGTCTGCAGGTCAACTCTAATGGATTGAGGGTAGCTACTGGAGTCTGGGCTAAGGACTGGGTAGCCCATGTAGGCGATGGTTGGTAGGGGGAATTACTTTGATCCAATAGAAATTTCTAGCATTGACATAGGATATGCTATGACAGTAAGTTACATTTGGCCATTCCTGGATTAGAACTATTAACCTATAAAGACATTCGAAACGTATAATGGAGACAAACTGCCAAACATATGAAAAGATGCTCAACCTCACTCACAATAAGAGAAACAGAAATTTAAACTCAACCATGGCAACACTGTACAACAATCAGGCTGGCAAAAACCCCACAAGTTTAAACAATATATTCTGATGATAAAACTGTGGGGAAATAGGTCCTCTCATTGCTGGTAAAATCATAAATTGCCCATGGAGGACAATTTAGCAGTATTTACCATGTTTGCAAATTCATATACCTTTGACTCAGCATTTCTACTTCTAGGAATTTTTCCTAAAGAAATACTCACACATATGCAAAATGATGTGGGCCTATGTGGATACTGCAATTAATTGCAGCATTGTTTATAACAATTAAAGATTGAATTAATTTAAGTGTCCATCACTAAGGGGCAAGTTAAATAAATGATGGTACATTCATACACTGGAATACAATGCAGTGGTCCTATGTTCTATGTACTGAACGAGAAAGATCTCCAAGATACACTCTTTTTATAACAAGGATTTTATATGAAAATGATAGTCGTACCCAAAAGTAGAGAATGGTAAATTGACTCCCCTTTTATACCCTCAGTGTCATAAGGGTATTCCCCTCATCACCTGATTCAACATCTTTGCCTCTCTTTTTCCTCTCTTGGTTCATCTATCTTTCTTTGTTTTTTCCTTTTTCTTTTTTGCTTAAGTAGTCTAAAGTAAATCCATTACATTATGTAATTTCACCCCAACATACTTTAATGTGCATCTCTAGAGATTATAGATATTTGATTTACATAAGTACAGTGTCATTATCATGCCTGACAGGATCAACAGTTCATTGGTATCTCTTTAAGATATACTCTTAAAAAAAAAAAATCCAGAAGTCTGTATAGATGCTACCATTTATATAAAAAAGGAAAAATTTGAGTATGTATTTTGTATCCTTATATGCACAAATTATAAAATACCTCTGGTAGGATACACAAGAAACTAAAAATAGTGGTTGTCTGAGGGGAGGGGCAGTGGGTGGCGGGGGTCATAGGTGAAACAGAGACCTTCCACTGTG